GACCACAACCTGCCAGGCTCCTCTGTCCATGGGATTCTCCAGGCAAGAATAATGGAGTGGGTTACTGTGCCCTCCACCAGTGGATTTTCCCAACCCAGGGATGGAACCTGTGTCTCTGAGGTCTCCTGCTTTGGCAGGCAGGTTCTTTACCATTAATGCCACCTGGGAACAATCACCTACAAACACAGAAAGCTGATTTAGAAGTATTGCCTCAGCTGCCTTTACTAGCTGCCATCATCGCCCTCTTTGTGACCATAAGACAATTAATGCCATAAGCTGGATCTTAAATAAATTCTTCCAATCCTGTCCGTAAATGCACCTTTCTCAGAACTCAATGTTTGCCTTGGCTTTTGAATCTGAACATTCCTCTGATTTCAGTATCTCCCCCAGACTCAGATAATAAGCTCCCTCTTATGTCCTGAGACCAGGACATAGAAAATGGGCAGGGCTTTGTCATAACAGGGTAATAGGACAACATAGATCTGTTCACACTGTTCACACTCTGTTCACAGGAATGTTTACATGCTCTGAGAAAATGTGAATAAGATTAAAATTAATTAAGGAATAAGTATGCATACAAGTGGATGCTTTTGAGAGCAGCATGACTTTGTGTAGAGCTTAAAACAGAGGCTGAAAGCTGAATCAGTTCAGTCACTCAGTCGTGTCTGACTCTTTTCAACCCCATGGACTGCAGCACGCCAGGCCTCCCTGTCCATCACCAATTTCCGGAGCTTGCTCAAACTCATGTCCATTGAGTCATTGATGCCATTCAACCACCTCATCCTGTCGTCCCCTTCTCTTCCCGCCTTCAATCTTTCCCAGCATCAGGGTCTTTTCCAGTGAGTCAGTTCTTCGCATCAGGTGGCCAAAGCATTGGAGTTTCAGCTTCAACATCAGTCCTTCCAATGAATATTCANTTAAGAATTTTCCTGTTTGTTGTGATACACAAGTTCAAAGGTTAATGTAGTCAGTGAAGAAGAAGTGGGTATTTTTCCAGAATTCTCTTGGTTTTTCTATGATCCAATGGATGTTGGCAATTTGATCTCTGGTTCCTCTGCCTTTTCTAAAACCAGCCTGAATATCTGGAAATTCATGGTTCACAAACTGTTGAAGCCTGGCTTGGAGATTTTGAGCATTACTTTGCTAGTGTGTGAGATGAGTATAATTGTGTGGTAGTTTGAACATTCTTTGGCATTGCCTTTCTTTAGGATTGGGATGAAAACTGAACTTTTCCAGTCCTACGGCCACTGATAAGTTTTCCAAATTCGCTGGCATATTGAGTGCAGCACTTTCACAGCATCATCTTTCAGGATTTGAAATAGCTCAACTGGAAAGCTGAATGCAATCCACAAATATGGATTGGTTACCCAGTGTGTAGTTTAAATATAAATGCATTTAATTTGTAATCAGTTTGCTACAGCCTTCACCATTCCGCATTACATTTTACTGGCAAGTTCATTAATCTGTGTTCTTCTACATGTTTGAATTTTCAGTTACTGGCAGAGTATTTAAGAGCATGGACTTTGATGTTAGAGAGGATGATTCAAGACTACTGCTCTGCAAGCTACTTTTAGCTGTAAGATCGGAAAAGCCAATGCATTAAGCTAGATAAGGCATGTAAAGTACCTAGCACATGCTCTAGCATATAGTAATTAATAAATGTTAGTTCTCATTATTCTTTAGTAAATGAAACCCCTGCTGCTAATGACATCGTGTTAGAGCAGAGAACATGAGAAAAATGCTTTGCTTAAAAGCAGTAGCACCTGGGCATAATTTCACGAACATAATTTTTATGAGACTGCTTTAATGGGAACTGACATTAGGGAAGTGAATTTTAGTAAATGACAGCACTATAATAAGATTTCCTTGGATTGGTTTTTAAATGGGCTACACTGCACCAAAACAATTCTGACCATTAGTTCTAAAGCAATATAGATTTCAGCCATGTGTTTCATACATCATGTTTTCAGGTATGTAACACCATGAGCTAAGTGTTTACAAAATTAAAATTAAGGCAGAGAATGCAAGGAGGAGATGACTATTGTGAAAGAAAAATCCACGCTTATCTTGAGTTTTATAAAAATGAGATGTTTCCTAGGTCCTCTTAACTTTCACATTATTTTCTGAAAGAAAATCTCAAAACGTATAACCTCCGTTTTATCCAAGAGAACTCATGCAGGCTAAAAATGTTGTTCAGTATATAATACCTGAAAAATAATAGAGATTAATAATGCATTGGCAAGGTTAAATAAAAAAGGGAAACTTTACCTTGTAAAAATCAAAAAAGGTTCTGTTAACTGAGAGGTGGATTAGAATGTTCAAAGTGCGTGGGGACCACATACTCTGTAAAGTCTGATTTATACTGCAGACATCATAATGCCTACCTACTTCAGAATGACAAATAGTACCAAGCTGAAGTCGCAGTAGCAGCCCTAGACTGCTAACAGCAATGCCTTCCATCTCAATAGCTGAGGCTGTGCCATTCTGTACACTTAAAATTCTGAGCATTTAACACTTCTTGTTGCATCTAAATCCAGATACAAAAACCTTCAAATCAAACTATTTACCTCAACTGGAATCTGCCCTGAATAATTCATAAGGAGGGAGAAAGATGGCAGTGAAGAAAGCCAAAGAGAGTTTTAATGAACTCTAGAGTTTCAAAAATAATGGCACAGAACCTATTACAGCTTTTTCCCTCACCCAGGGAAAAAAAGGCTATCCATCTCCCTGACACTGAATACATCCAGAAAACAGGAAGAGCAGGATAGGGTTCAGTTTTATGGTTGTCTGACACTGATATCCGAATAGCACTGCTCAGATTATTTACCCGGAGAGGTTCTTTTCTGAATGTGTAACAGTTGAGGAAGCATCTAAAGTACTCACATTCAAATGCTTTATTCTCATGGTGCTCTCTAAAATTCAAGGGGTATCTGGAGATTCAGTTAAACAAAAACTGGGACAATCACGGGCTTCTCAGGTGACACTAGTGGTAAAGAACCTGCCTGCCAATGCAGGAGACCTAAGATGCCAGAGACGCGGATTCGATCCCCGGGTCAGGAAGATGCCCTGGAGAAGGGCATGGCAACCCACTCCAGTGTTCTTGCCTGGAGAATCCTGTGGACAGAGGAGTCTGGCGGGCTGCAGTCCACGGGTCACAGAGTCAGACATGACTGAGGGACTATCACTTTCGATTTTTACTAGATAAGCATCTCTNTCAGGAAGATGCCCTGGAGAAGGGCATGGCAACCCACTCCAGTGTTCTTGCCTGGAGAATCCTGTGGACAGAGGAGTCTGGCGGGCTGCAGTCCATGGGTCACACAGAGTCAGACAGAACTGAGGGGCTATCACTTTTGATTTTTACTAGATAAGCATCTCTGCAGTGATTCATCCGGTGAATGAGCTTAGGATTCTAATTAAAGTACCGAAACAGAGGCCTTTTGAAAGTGTTATTACTGTGTAAATCTGTATTTGTTTCCTACTGCTGCTGTAACAAATGATCACAAACTTAGTGGCTGAAACAAACACATTTATTCTCTACAGTTCAGCAACGCAGAAGTCCCAAACGAGACTTATGGAGCTAAAATTAAACTATGAGGTGGCCGATTCCTTCTGGAGGCTCCCCATAACTCGTTTGCCCGCCTTGTCCTGCTCCTAGGGGTGCCCTCGTTCCTCGGCCTGAGCCCCTTCCTCTGTTTTCAAAGCATGTCACTCCAATCTCCATTTCTTCATCACAGCTTCAGTCCTTGATGGTCTTTTCCTTGATCTCTTGTAAAGATGCTATGAATACACCAGTCTCAGCTAGATCAGCCAGGATATCTTCCTATCTCAGGACCCTTCATCTCACCAGCAAAGTCCCTCTGCCAAGTAAGGTAACATTTTCTCAGAAGGTGGGGAGCAGGAGGTGGGCACTTTAGGGGCCATTATTCTGTCTATGACAAGGCTGGACTAAGCTATTTTTTTAAGGACGTCTTATTATTCATTTTTGGCTGCACTGGGTCTTGTGTTCTGTGCCCAACCCTTCTCTAGGTGTGGGGAGCAGGGGCCACTCTCCAGCTGAGGCTTCCCTTGTTGCGGAGCAGTTTCTTAGGGGCTGCGGGCTCAGTGATTTGGCGCAGTCGCCCTGCGGCATGTGGAATCTTCCTGAACCAGGGGTCAAACATGTGTCCCCTGCATTGACAGGTGGATTGTTAACCGCTGGACCACCAGGGAATTCCGTAACTAATCGTTTAATGGAAAGATATTTCCACATTAGAAATTAGGTCCCATGTGTATTAATTACAAACAAAACTAGAAGAAAATCTCAATAATTGTAATAAGTCCCTTGGACTGCAAGGAGATCCAACCAGTCCATCCTAAAGGAGATAAGTCCTGTGTGTTCACTGGAAGGACTGAGGCTGAAGCTGAAACTCCAGTACTTTGGCCGCTGATGTGAAGAACTGACTCATTGGAAAAGACCCTGATGCTGGGAAAGATTGAAGGCAGGAGGAGAAGTGGATGACACAGGATGAGATGGTTGGATGGCATCGTGGACTCGATGGACATGAGTCTGAGTAAACTCCAGGAGTTGGTGATGGACAGGGAGGCCTGGAGTGCTGCAATTCATGGGGTGGCAGAGTCGGACATGGCTAAGCGACTGAGCTGTACTGAACTGAAATGTTAAAAGACAAAATGCTACTTTTACCTTTCCACATTTATAAAGCAAAGTAGAATTGCTGTATGAAATAGTAAATTCAAATCTGAGGGTCAGTCAACTTTTAAGAACCATATAAATGCTTTTGTCAGACAAACCTTATTTCAAATACACATTAGCATCTTTTAAAAAGTCCCTAATAAGACATCAGTCTTAAGATGGAAACATTTTCAATTAAAAATGATCCACAAATATTCTCACTTCATTTCAGAAACATCCTGATCTAGGATCTACTCTAGATGCATATGACAAGTTCAACATGTTTCTAACAACCTGCTGAATTTTCGAGAACAGTTAGTACACTTTTACTATAATTCTTATCAAAGCCATGAGATAAATATTTAATTGATAAATAAGTGATGTGCAACAAAACAATGAATTAAATAAAGTTAATGTATTTAATACCTTAAAAAATAAATTTCCTTTAAAATTGTTTACAAAATCAACTTCCAAATTAATATATGATCATGTCAGGGATTACAAGCTTATCTAAAAAGGAAGATCACTTTAACAATCTGTAAATTAAAATTAGTTGACTTAAATTTATACCTCTGGAAAATATAAGTGAAGTAGTTCCTCACAGGTATATTTAATTCCTAACTATTGCACTCTTCATATTTCTCATTCTAGAATTTTTTTTTAACCAAAGACAAGACCTTTATTTCACTATCAGTCTCAAAAAGAAAAGAGAACTCATTTATGTAAGTTTACCCTCATACTAAGATTCTCCATTACCTCAGGATCCCATGTTCATGCTAAATTTTCTTGGTGTTTTAAAAAATATTGATGATAATGTAAATATTTGTAATATGTTAAATGTGTTCAATAGAAAAATGATAAACGCTATTGGTTTGAATTCCTATTGTAACTTGAAGGAAAAGGCAAATGCTGATATTAAATTACTTAATTTACATTTTACACTGAAGATTTTTGAAACTAATTATAATAGCACTTCTTTTTACAAAAGAAAACAAACATAAATATCTCATTACAGAAACCCTCAAATATTTTCAATTCAAAATTCCAAGTTACTGAAAACAACCATACTGCATAATACACTAGTAAAACACATAGAAAATTATATTTTAAAATATTTTATTCTACTTTTTAATTAAAAATGGGAAAGCAGGAATTGTGTATTGGGGTGGTAGTAGCAGTGGAAATAGAATGTCTTAAACATTGCAACAAAGATAGGAGCAAAGAACACATTAAGCTTAAATCTCTTCCATGTGCATACGTATGTTTAAATAAATCATACATCCAACCTGGGCTGGTGATCTGTTTCATCCGAAAAAAAAAAAAAAATAAATAAATAAATAAATAAATCAAAGACATTTTCAAAACTATTAAATAAAGCACTATCTCAATAAAAAATGGGCATATGATAAATGTCTGAAAGAATATGCATTAAATGTGGATTGTGGTTGTCTATGGGTTATGTTGAATTTTTATTTTCTTCTTTATATTTTAAGTGTCTACAAAGTGTTTTGCCAGGATCATGTATTACTTTAGCAAGCAGAACTAAACAATATTGATCTTTCTGTTAAAAATATATTTCATGTTTAATTTATGAACCAAACTAAAGATAAACTTAGTTTCACTATATTTTCTATAAAGCAAAACCAGAAAATGTTATGCCTGACTTTTTTTAAATAGTAGTTTCTATTTGTATATGAACTTATAAGAACTGTTCACTTAGTTAAAAAAAAAAGGTTTAAAGTTACTTTTATGCTTTTGTGGATATCCGCTGCACAAAATTGTGAATTATCAAGAAAGAATATTTTATTGAGTCATGAAAATCCATGGTCAAAAACATTTATAGCATATTTATACTGGGTTAAGATTTCATCATAGCATATGGATAAACATTGCATATTTATAACTCTAAGAAAAAAATCTGACCAAGCTGATAAATGCTTATTTTAATCAAAATAAGCATTGAATGAAATATTTTATTCAAAAAATAAGAAATATCTCTTTCTTTGTAGAAAGAAATAAATTATAGTTCAACCTCAGAGCTTGATTTTAGGCTCGTATTAATATTGAGCAATGACAGAAATGGGATTTTTCACTCTGTGTATCCTGAGTATATTACAAATCATCAGACTCATGTTGAATGAAATAGATAAAAGAACAATGAGGTATCAAATTGCATAGCTGCACTTCATTTTCAGTTCGTTTCATGCCTATTTTCATGAATCTCTATTTTAGTAAGGAGGTAAATAATATCAATATCCACCATTATGTCATTTGTAAACTACTATCATTTTCAAGAATAATCTTTGTGAATGTCATTGTACTAGCCAAAAACAAATTACTTAAGATTATTCTATGATTATAGGCTATCCATCCATTAGTAATAATCCTTCCATTCTTCCTTCCTCTCTTTTTTTCATAAATAATTATTTGTATTGCATGGATTAAAATATACCTGAAAATTTTTTTCAGTTTTGTACAACAACTTACAGATGGAATATAACCTAACAAACATGTTGAGAAGAGAGTGACTCACAGGCTGAAATCATGCTATACAAGGAACATTTACAGAAACAAGGAGACCTCGAATGTACAAGGGAGAGGAAAAAATGGAGGCAACACATATGCTGTCTTCTGATGTAATTTAAAGGCAGGGCTAACATTTGAAAGTGAATCTGACTTGATTAGTAAGCCTCATCTTTTCAACTAAATTTAACAGGAAGAAGTTTTAGAGAGCTAAATTTCGGGTAAGGAGTAAGATTTGTACCCAGATTAATAATAATAATAATACTATTCACTGAATGCTTACTATTTGCCAGGTACCATGCTAAAACTTTACATTCATTGCTGTGTTTAATTTTCAAGGCACCTTTATCAGGAACTGTGGAACTGATACTTAAAGAGTTTAATAAATTCCCAGACATATGGCTAGTAAGTGGTAGAACCAGAAGTTAAATAAAGAGTCTGATTAGAAGGCCCCCACTTACATTCTCTACTCGGTAATATGAAAAAGAATCAAAGCACTTGCTGATGCTTTTCTGATGGATTAAGCCTGGGTAGTTAGTTGAATCAATTAGGGTTCCCGTGGTAAGCAGCTTTTAAGATGCTTTCCAGTGATGCCCTGCTTCCTGGTATTATATCTTGGTTGATTCCTTTCTCCGGAGTGTTCTGTTTCTAACCAAGATTATATGGCAATGCTGAAGGGATAGGACTCTCTGTTGATGATGCTCTTGTTGTTTAGTCAACAGGTCATGTCTGACTTTGCACCCCCATGGACTGCAGCATGCTCATTGAGTTGGTGATCCTATCTATCTCATCCTCTGTCGTCCCCTTCTCCTCCCACCTTCAATCTTTACCAGCATCAGGGTCTTTTCTGAGTCAGTTCTTTGCATCAGGTGGGCAAAATATTGGAGCTTCAGCTTCAGCATCAGTCCTTCCAGTGAACATTCAGGGTTGATTTCCTTTAGGATGGACTGGCTGGATCTCCTTGCAGTCCAAGGGCCTCTAAGCACCACAATTTTAAAGCATCAATTCTTCAGTGCTATGGTGCAACTTTCAAAATCATTAAATGACTACTGGAAGAACCCACAGCTTTTTTCCAGTTAATCACCCTGTGTTCAGTTATAAAAATTATGACTTCATTTCCCTGGTCGAGTCTCTCCATTGCCTTTTCAGCCCGTGCCCTCTAATGAGGGGGTCGTGTTGGATGAGGCCTTTAGCCGAGTTACTGAGAGCAGCTTCTAATCAACAGCCTGGAAGGAACTGAGGTCCTATGTGCAAAGGCACTCGAGGTACTGAATTTCGCCCACAAACACATTAGTGGGCTTAGAAGCAGATCCTTTACCCGCTGAGCCTTCAGATGAGAGGTCCCGGGCCTGGCTGGCATCTCGACGGCAGCCTTGTAAGACATCTTGAAATAGAAGGCTCCCTCAGGTAAGCGGTGCTTGGGTTTCCGACTCACAGAAACTGTGAGATGATAAATGTGTGTCATCTAAAGCCACTGAATGTCAGGGATAATTTGTTACACAGCAGTAGTCACCTGATACACTTTCCTGAGGCAAAGACTGTACCTTATACAACCTCATGTATCCAACACTGTCACAGTTCCCGAAACACGGAAGGAAGCTATGAGTGTCAGCTGACTAAGTGGAGAGCAAACAAAAGCAGCAAAGATTAAACCGAACGATCTTTAAGATAATTTGAGACTTGAGATTCTATTATTATTACATGGAGAACATAATCAAAGTAGACTTTTCATGATGGCCCAATATACTTTGTCAGAATAAAAGATTTTATAAGTGAAAGAGCTGAAACTCAATTAAATATTTTTTTTCTTCCCCTGCTTCCCCAGGTTTATTGAAATATAACACAGATACAAAAGATTCACCCATAAGCCTGCCGTTTGATAAAGTTTCAAAGTGAGAAATAGTCACGTCACCATCATCACAGTCAAGATAGAAAGCATCTCCAACTCCTGGAAAAGTTTCTGTGCCCTTCTGCGATCAATCCTCCTTCCTGACTGCTTCAGGCAACTGCTCACTGATGGTTTTTCTCGGTGTGGTTTTACGTTTTCTAGAACCTCATACACAGAAATGTTTTCAAGTGTTTGGTGTGCGTTGCGAGTGTACTAGGCATAAAGATATCAGACTCTATGTCAGCTGTAGCTGAATTTAACAGTTTTGTTTTTCATTCATAATTTCACATGTAAATCTCTTCAATGGATTCTCTTTACAAATAAATATTATCTATAAGAAAAAGACTATTTTCAACAGCATTTTTATTAATTGATCTTTAGTAAATTAATCTGATCAAGAGAAGTTTATCTAAAATTCCTCAAAAATCAAAGGGATACATCTAGAATTTTCCCCTCTGAACACTGAGAGAAAAATTAAGCTATTCTGCAGTGCCCATTTATCAGCATTTATTAATTTAACAACTGAAAGAATGTTGAGGCTATAGTGAAGCAGGAAAGGATTTTACATTTAGAGTTAGAATTCTCTAGATATTGCTACAACTTGGCTCTTTTGAATTAGTTCTTGCTGATTAAATTTTCCACTCTGACACAATCAGGCTGCTTTTGAACAACCGGCCTTTCTCCTACTTGCATGCAGTCACCTAATAAAAATGCTCAAGACATTTCCTTGAATGTAAGAGCTGATGATGGATGGATGAACTGCAATGAGCCCCACACAATGCAAGCAGTGGGCAGAACTTGACAGTAGTCACCGTTTGCAAGGACTAGCTGCACCAGGCGACTTTGAATTCCTGCAGTCTTTCATTTAACACATATTTACTGAATTCTCCAAGTGAACAGGGTACCAAATTTGCTATATCAAGTGTTTCTTCACTTGCTGGGAGAAAATAACTAATAGTTACTAATAGTTCCAGCACCAAGGCAGGAGTCAATTAAGTTGGAAAAGCCTTGATATGCCTACAGCATCAGAGCTCCATTTTACGTGGTAAGTATCTAAATAAATCCCAAAGGGTGCCGCTGACGTGTGTCTCAAGTTGTAGACGCCCTTTGGTCATGACTTCTGGTTGAACGACTGCATTCGGAGATAAACAGGGCAGTGAACAGAACAGTCCGTTCGGGATCAGACTAACCTAGGTGCAAATTGGGTTTTGACTTTCATGAAATCAGTTTAGAGGCCATAGGAAAAATTACCTAACTTCTAGAGACACAGTTTCGTCGGATGTAAATGAGTGCTTTATATAGGTAACAAGACACGAAGCAGGGCTTTTCCTGTTACTTCAAACATTTCAGCTAAAGCCTAAAATGAGAACAATGAGAGAAAGGACCCTAAAGAACAGCTACTAGGCATCCCTCCTAGAGTTTCTAATCAAGAAGTGAAACTGGCTACACACCTAGCCCTTCATCAGGACTACCAAACGCAGAAATTCGGAGTGCATCTGGAGAGAAAGTGTTCAAGGCAATGAGACATTCTCCAAGGGAGGGGTTTCAGCTTATCCCCTCCCCCTGCACACACGCTGCACACACTTAGGCAAGAGGGCCAGCTCCACGGGATCTAAAAGACTGAGGGGGCACTTTCGACCCTGCAGACCAGTGTCTTGATTCTGACCACAGGCTTGCTGAGCAGAAATGTGCCGGCCAGTTTCTGCATGAGAAATCAGAACTGCAGTTCCTCGTCACAGTTTCTGTGAGAAGAGCTTGGACCAAGCTGACCTGTGGCCCCTGGAGTTTGGGGAAGCATTTGAACCTCAAGATGACTGTCCCTTTCCCTCCTGGAGAATTGAGAAAGCTGGAAGACAGCAGAACAGACCTACATTCCGTTACTTGGCAGGACAGGAGTGCCTGCATCTCCCATAGGCTCAGCACATCCCTCAGAAAGTGAACTGCTATCCTTATGGGCTCCTGCAGAAAAGAACTTTCTGCCAAAGTGAGAGAAGGAGGTTAGAGGATTGATTACTCTGTGCTGGAGCTGGGTGATAGCTAAAATGCGCATGTCCATTGTCAGAGAGCGGAGGTCCCAAATAGTGGTGTATGGGAGAGAGAGCAAGTCTCCAAAGAGCCTACCACAAGGCCGCTAGCTCTTGTCAGTAACAGAGTATCGCTGAGACTAGAAAAACCCCAGTCAATTAAAAAATTAGTCTAAAATGCAGGGCTAGAGCTAGCGGTAGGCTTGAACAGAGAGGATGGGAGACATTTTGAATTTTATTTGAATTACGGACAGCTTGGAAATTTTAATAACTGAAAATAAATTTCAGTTCTGGAAATTAAATTGTGTTTATAACCAACAGTCTGAAAAACTCTGGCCTCTGCCTAACATAGTACCAGATCTCGGGGTCAGAAGATGGGATAACATGGCTGGGAAAAAAAAAAAAAAGTAAAGAGGCTTGCTGCGTATATTAGCTTTGAGTTCAGATCACTGAATAAAATCGTTACTTAAGGGTTATAGATAATACATGTTAAATGCCTTCCATAGTACCTGGCACACAGAAAATGAGTTTAATAAATATGAATTATTGTTGGTTTTATTACCATCGCTCTGGCACTGTTAGTTACTTTACTTACATGTATTGCCTCTAATCCCCCCAATAAATCTACAAGGCAGCTATTATTATATTTATTTTACAGATTAAGAGAAAGGGGAAACAAAAGTGAAAGAGGCAGACTTTATCATGAGAAGCTTAATCTGAGGAAGCCGAGCAGTCCATTAACAGTGCTAATGGCTCAAACAGAGACGGTACAAGGCGTCTTCGGAAGCCGACTCAGACTACACGTAGGCTTTCCCAAAGGATCTGGCCAGAAAAATCAGAGTTAACTATCCAGGTAAAAAGAAGGGGCAAAAATTCCAAACGCTAGGCTTCACAAGAAGCACAGGAAGGGAAGTAGCTATAGGGGAACCGGGCGGCAGGAGGCAGTGATGTAAAGACCTGTGACTCGTCTTGGCTGTTCCCCCAGAAGACAGTGTGGAAGCAAGAAAGAATTTAAGCGAGGAAGTGGTCACTGCCACGTGCGGATCTCTGCACAGAACCTAGAAGCCTGGTGCTACAGCCTGAGAGTCCCAGGCCGATCCGTGAGCTCTCCTGAGTTCCCAGTATCCTCACTTACATATATTGCCTCTAATCCCCCCAATAAATCTACAAGGCAGCTATTATTATATTTATTTTACAGATTAAGAGAAAGGGGAAACAAAAGTGAAAGAGGCAGACTTTATCATGAGAAGCTTAATCTAAGGAAGCCGAGCAGTCCATTAACAGTGCTAATGGCTCAAACAGAGACGGTACAAGGCATCTTCGGAAGCCAACTCAGACTACACGTAGGCTTTCCCAAAGGATCTGGCCAGAAAAATAAGAGTTAACTATCCAGGTAAAAAGAAGGGACAAAAATTCCAAATGCTAGGCTTCACAAGAGGCACAGGAAGGGACGTAGCTATAGGGGAACAGGGCGGCAGGAGGCAGTGATGTAAAGACCTGTGACTCGTCTTGGCTGTTCCCCCAGAAGACAGTGTGGAAGCAAGAAAGAATTTAAGCGAGGAAGTGGTCACTGCCACGTGCGGATCTCTGCACAGAACCTAGAAGCCTGGTGCTACAGCCTGAGAGTCCCAGGCCGATCCGTGAGCTCTCCTGAGTTCCCAGTATCCTCATCTGTAAACGTCTGTAAAGCCACTTAATGCGCTCATCATCACATGGAGCGAAGGTAACACCTGCCTCATGGAGCCCTGCTGAAATGCTAGGCTACAACGTGCTGCAGAAGTCTTGCCCGATGAGCTCCAGCACTGAAAATGCCAGTCAGTTCTCCCCGATGTTTTTCACAATGAACAATTACTTTGATTACCACTGATTACATTCCCCCTCTGCATTTTAATACGTGATGGACAACCAACAAATTTTTAAAAACTCATTCTCCGTACTCACCTAAAAACATTCAGCTGGATTCTTAACATTTGTATTTCTACTGTAAGTTCTAACAAAGGCAAACAGAGGAAAATATGGCAGGAAAGTCAGGATGGCTAAGGGCAAAAGCTAATGATGGAGGCTTCACTTGAAGGTCTCAGAGTGGCAACAGTAATTACAGGTTTGGAGCTTGTGGCAATCATAGCAAATTCTCAAGTGCCGGGTTTCTCTTCCCTTATAAATCTGCGATGACTTGGTGACCTAATCCAAGTATCAGAAGAGATCCAACTCTGACCGATGCCCTCTGCCCTAAGTGGACGTTTGCATTTCTTTGAGGAAGTGCCAGGAAAAAGGAGAGAGAGGGAGAGAGTTATCAGAGTGGAATATAATGAGGGCATCTTGTGAGGCAGCAGAACGATATGGGGGTAGAAGATGGCATCTCCTCCTCGAATCAGTTCCTCCCTGTGGTCACTTAGAAGCATGGTGAGGTCGACTAACAAACTTAGATCAGAAGGGAGAATGGTCAAGGTCAGGGCCAGCCGCTGATCAGCTTACTGGGTGCAGTGTGTGGGATGTCTGAGAATGATCTAACACCCAAGGCTGGTCCTGACATCTCAGGCACCTTTCTGGGGTGCAGCTAGGAGAGCTACAACGCAGAGGACCAGGGTCTTCACAAACTTAGGGCTTGTTTATCAGGCTCTGATACAGAGAGTCAGCCTCGAGAAAGGGCCTGAGAAGATTCTAGGAAAGAGGTGCCAAGGAACAAAGATATAAGCTATGCGGTGACGGTCACAGGAGTAAAGTGGTCAAAGAATAAAGACACAAGTGGGCCAGAACAATGCCTTGGAATAATGGACCTATTCCTTCCAGCACCTGGGAAGAACTCCTTCAGAACTGAGGACTGAGGGTAAATGGATGGGGCATCAGAGACCCTGCCCTTTTCATTCTACACTGATCTTTAGATGAAGAAAGAATAATACCCAGGGTTCATTTTTATTATAACTTTTCTCACATATGATTAGATGGTCTTTAAGGAGTTTTTTATTTTTTTTATTTTTTTATTTTTTTTTGTCTTAGTTATTGTAAGTGATTCCACTATAAACATTGGGGTGCATGTACCTTTTCTTTTTTCTTTTTTTTCTTTCTTTACGACCCCATGGACTGTAGCCCACCAGGCTCCTCCATTCACGGAGTTTTCTAGGCAAGAGTTCTGGAGTGGGTTGCCATTTCCTTCTCCAAGGAGTTTTTTAAAAAATAGAAGTACATATCTAAAATTTGGCTTATCTAAAAATACATTTATATACCTCTTAGAAGTTGACTAAATTTAACTTCTTGCCTTTGCTA